GCACTCATAACACTGAAAGACCACAAACCGAACTTCGCTAACAAACCGACCTGCCGATAATTAACCCCACCAAATCTGAGATAGGTAGAATCAGCAAAACAATCCTCGACAGAATCAACAGCAAAATTACGAGAACATCCAAATTCAACCACTGGAAAAATACAGCATCCGTGATCGAGTGGTTTAAAGCCATTAAAAAAACAAACAACACCACAGTTCTATTTGCTTTGACATCGAATAATTCTACCCCTCCATCAGCCAAGACCTCCTGAACAGAGCACTCGACTTCGCCTCAGCCTATAACAACATTACCGACGACGAAAGAAACATCACAACACATGTAAAACATTCGATCTTTATGCACAAACAACAACCCTAGCAAAAGAAGGGCGATACAACATTTGAAGTCACAATGGGCTGCTACGACGGTGCCGAAACATGCGAGCTAGTAGGAAATTTCCTCCTCTCCCGAATACAGAAACTCAACATCAACATCGGACTTTACAGAGTTGAGACGGACTGGCCATTTCAAACACCACACCGAGAGACACAGAAAACATCAAAAAAGAAATATGCCCCATCTTCAATCAAAATGGACTACGGATCACCATCGAAGCCAACAAGCAGACCATCCTTTTCTTAGACGTCACTTTCAAACTGAATAAAAACACCTTCCAGCCCTTCACAAAGCCTAACACCACATTACAATACGTCCACCGCGAGAGCAACCACCCGCCAACCACCACAAAGAACAAACCCCCGGCATCAACAAAAGGCTATCATCCCTTTCATCTGACAAAGCATCCTTCGACCAAGCCGCTCCGATGACTGCGGATACCGGTACACTCTACACTACGAACCACCCACGACTAACAACCGAAAAAACAGACAACGGAACAACATCCTCTGGTACAATCCCCCATTCAGCAAAAATGTCAGCACCAATATCGGACACAGATTCCTTACCCTAATAGACCAGCACTTCCCGAAAGACCACAAACTTAGAAAAATCGTTAATCGTAACACAATCAAGATCAGTTACAGCTGCATGAATAACACTAAACAGATCATCGACAACCACAACAAACGCATTCTAAATTCATCCAAACACATCAATGACACCGCAGATAACACCAACACAAAAGACACCAAAACGTGCAACTGTCGACAGAAGAACACATGCCCACTTAACAGAAACTGCTTCCAATCATCTCTAATCTACCAAGCCACAGTCACACGCAAGGACAACAGCACCACTGAAACATACATCGGACTTACAGAAAACAACTTCAGGACTAGATACAGAAACCACACCGCATCATTCCGACACACAAAACTCAGAAACTCCACCGAACTCAACAAGCATATCTGGACCCTTAAAGAAAATAACATTAGCTCCTATATTTCATGGCGCATCCTTTCATCAAGATCGCCCTACAGCAGCGCAAACAAAAGATGCAACCTCTGCCTCGAAGAAAAATT